GACCAGGTTACACCCATTGGAAAATAAAGTGAGGGTGATCAAAGGTGCCCCGGTTTCCATTTCTGTACTGGCGCATAGGTCTTTCCTTGGGTTGGTGAATTATTATGGAAAATACATACATAATCTGGTCAGAGATAGTAAGAACTGCCAATGCTGGAGTCTGAGATAACACAGTGTGGAGCTGGAGGAACACAGCAGGCCAGACTGCATCAGAGGAGCAGGAAAGCTGCCATTTCGGGTCGGGACCCTTCTTCAAAAAATGGAAGCTAACGTTTCTGGTTGGGATCCTTCTTCAGAAAATGGAAGCTGATGCTGCCTGGCCTACATAATCTGGCCGGCATCTTACATTTGCGATTGAAAAAGGGTTAGTCTTTGAAATGGTCAGGGAGCCAAGAAGTAGTCTTTAGGAAAGTGAAAAAGGAGCTATCATCATCGAAGGTATTGGCCCAATATGATCCCTCGTGAGAGGTGGTGCTGACATGTGATGCCTCCACATATGGTATTGAGGTACCATTGGCTCACCGGTGACCCAACAGAGAGGAACATCCAATAGTGTATGCTTCCCAGACTTTGGCTGATGCTGAACGTAAATACACCCACATCCAGAAGGAATGTTTGGCAGTCATCTTTGGTGTGAGAAAGCTCTACCAATACCTTTATGGATGTAAATTTGTCATAGTAACAGACCACAAAAACATGTTAGGTCCACTTAAAGAAGACAAGGCCATGTGGCCTATAGCTTTTGGTCAAATTCAGCATTGGGCCCTTATTCTCAGTGCGTACAAGTACAAGTTGGAACACTGTCCAGGAGGCCAAGTGGCTAATGCAGATGCCATAAGCCACCTCCCACTGGTAGACACACCACTGGTGGTACCTCCCCTGGAACAGTCCGGTCTGATTTAAACTTTCTGGACACCCTTCCCATCACCCTAACAATATCCTACTGTGGACACAAAAAGATCCCATTCTAGCAAAACTAGCTGGGGAAACAAACTGACCAGCACAGCCAGGACTGAAATTTTTCTGGATGTGGCAAGACCAGTAGACAGAAGAGGGCTGCATATTACTATGGGGAACAAGCACGATTGTCCCGAGCAAAGGTCGCTGCCAGATATTGGCTGAACTCCACCAGGGTCATCCAAGGGTTTCCAAAATGAAGATGTTGGCAAGAAATTACATCTGGTGGCCAGGTTTGGATGCTGACATAGCTGCATTGGTGAGGCAGTGCCCACAGTGCCAACAAGGACAAAAATTACCACCATCAGTGCCCCCACATTCGTGGGAATGGCCAGGTAAAACTCAGATTCGGTTGCACATTGACTCCTCCGGTCCTTTCGTGGGCTCAATGTTCCTGGTCATTGTGGATGCCCATTCAGTGTGATCGGACAGGCATAAAGTTCATTTGGAAAACTCATGGATAATGATTGAAAAGCTGCAAGCATCACTCATGATACATGAACTCCTGGAAATATTGGTTACAGACAATGAGACATCACCAGCAGAGAATTCCAGTATTTCCTGAAGTCAAATGGTAGTTGGCATGTGCAGACAGCGCCATACCATCCATCGTCTGATGGTCTTGTGGAATGAGAGGTCCAAATGTTGAAGGCAGGCTTAAAGCAACAGCCTACAGCTTTACTCAATATCAAACTGTCCTGGTTCCAGTTTGATTATGGGATCAGCTCTTATGCAACTACTAGGATAGCTCCAGCAGAGTTGCTGTTGGGGAGAAGACACCAGGTTAAATGTGATGTTCCCGAACCTGGCAGGGGGCTGAAACAGCAAAAGAAAGCCAATACTGGCAATATGCCTAATCGACGTGAGAGAGACAGTTTACTTCAGGGAATGAAGTTTGGTGTCAAAATCAGGGATTTGACCCTGCATGGGTACTGGGCAAGGTCGGCACGAGTTAAGTCCTGTGACACACAAAGTTCGGGTAGTTGAGGTGGTCCTGAACAAACTTGTGGATCACCCAAAAGCTGCTACTTCACAAACAGGGCAGGAGCAAAACATACCTGTCCCCTCAGAACAAGCAGAAAGGCTATCAGAAACTGTGTATTCTCTCTTTCCGTCTAGGTTGAGGAAACCTCATAGTCCAAGATGGATGCAGCCTTGATATCATTACCACCTGACAAAGAGGAGGAAACTCTCCTGAGACACTCTTGGCGCCAGAGACGGACTTCAATCCTGTACATGCCACGATGTCCAAGTCAGAGTCAGAGGAACCAGACCTGGGACAAAAGTGTCCCAGGAGAAGCTACAAGAAAAAGAACAGGCCTGCTTCCCCATACTTGGTTGGGGGTTGGGGGACATGGAGTGATTGGAATGAGGGCCAGATGAATCTCATTGACTATGAGATCCTTGACTGGGGTTGTTAACCTGGACCAGTGAGCCCTGGCTGAGAGACATAAACAGGATATTCAGAGAGTCTCCTGATGCTAGGACTGGCTCTGAGCTGGCTGGTCAGAGCCCATGTCCTCTGCACATGTAAATAAAGAGTGACTTGGTGACAGGATACCGGTCTCTGTGCAGTTATTCATAGGCAAAACTGAAGTACATGGAATGGGGTAACATATTGGACTGAATTGAGAACTGACTGATAGATCGGAAACAGAGTGGAAATATTGGGTCTTTTTCCAGGTGGCACACAGCAATTAGTGCTGTGGTATTGCAAGAATCAGTCCTAGGGCCCAGCTTTACTTGATACCAGAAGATGTAACCCAATGCAGTATTTCTAAGTTTGATGATAATAAAACACTGGGCGGGAATGTAAATTGAGAGAGCTTTCAAGAAGACTTCAAGGTGATTTAGACATGTTGAATTAAACACAGAAATACCTGGAGAAACTCAGCAGGTATGGCAGCATCTGTGGAGAGAAAGCAGTCAATGTGTCAAGTCCAGTAACCCTTCTTTAGAACTTGCCGAGACAGCCCATTTGCTGAGAGGATGTTTCCCCAATGAGTTTCTCCGTATATTTCTGTTTTTTGCTTCAGATTTCCAGCATCCACAGTTCTTTGTTTTTTTGTTTAGACAAGTTGCGTGTTTAGCAAACATATGACAGATGCAGTACAACATGGCTAAGTGTAAAGGTATACATTGTGGTGTGAAAAGCAAAAAGAGGGAGTATTATTTGGATGCACAAAGGGATCTGGGTGTCCCTGTACACCAGAAATTGCAAGTAAAAAGGGAAGCACAGCAAGCAATTAAGAAGATGTTGACCCTCATAGCAAGTGGATTTGAGTTTAGCCATAGGGATCTCTTAATAAAGTTGTACAGAACATTGATGAGAATGCACCTGGAATATTGTGTGCAGTTTTAGTCTGTCTACCTATGGTTGGCATACAGGGAGTGCAGTGAAGGTTCACCAGGCTGATAAGGGGTTTGGCATGACTGTCACGTAAGGAGAGATTGGTTTGCCTGGACCTGTATTCACTAGAGTATAGAAGAATGAGAGGGAGCCTGATTGAAATGTATAACCTAGACAGCCCTGATGCAGGAAGGATATTTCCCTCAGTTGGAGAGTATAAATGCCAGGGTAAAAGATCAATGGTGACACTGCACTGTGTTCCAAAGATAGGAAAGAATTAGTGAACACCAATGTAATTAAATATTCTTTGAAGACTAAAACAGCTTTTATGACCTTCACAGCATCATGAGGATTTAAATATAGTTGCAGCCATTTGCAAATAATGTAAAATAACACTGGACAAAAATAATAGGTTTCTATCATGTAATTTTGTATGGTATAAGGAAAGGCTTAATCAATACAGGGAGGAAAGAAAGAAATACCACACTATGTTCATAGGACTAAGAACTATTAGAACTCCCAATGATTTTTTCATTACTTTTTATTTTTATTCTTTTATCACTTTGTTTTTGACCTGTGAACTGGGAATTGTGAGCTCATAATGACTTGTGAACATTGGAACAGCCTGTGGTTAAAAAAAGGACCAAACATACTTTTGTTTGCTTGAGAAGCCAGGCCTGGATAGTAATTGCAGGCTGATTCTTGATTAAAAGGATTCCTGGAGACATGGTGACCCCAGGAAAAGCATTGTGTTTAAACAGCTAGTAGAAGTTGGTTATTAATGAGGGAGTGCCTGGGAACTGGTTCCAGCAAGTCTGGAAGAGACCCTATATTCAGTCAGGTGGCAAATGTTGAATGGTGATTGAAGCCTCAGGAAAAGACATTCAATCTCCCAATCTTTTCTACAAGATCCTTATTTTGAAACAGGCATAGCTATAATCACAAAAGCATGATTTTCTTCCTTCAACCATATCCCTCATTAGTTGTTGGAAACATTTCTTGTTCGCTGCATGCCTAAGAGCTTGAACACTTTTTTCAACATTTTATAAAGCTCCATAAGTTCCGTCAAAGGTTACTAACATATTAACTTGTCTCACTGCAGATGCTACATGAACTGTTGAGTATGTTCAACAGTTTCTGATTTTATTTCTGATCTCCAACATCTGCAGGTTCTTAAAAAGGGTCAGATTTTAAAAAGTTTCAAATTTTGTTCCTCAGTTTCAAAATGAACCAGATCAATCTTGTCCTATTAGATGATAGCCTAGTTTAAGCAATGAAATGAATAACTGGAAACATACCTATGGAGTAATACTTAAAGATCAGCTACACTCGATGTAATTATAAATCTAGAGGCAGAAATTGGGATTAAATAAATAAAATTTATACCACTGCAGACACAGAATAAACGATTGATTCAGACACTGCCCAATGTGAACAAGGTACATCAGCAGAAAATTATCATACACTTGCTCCTCCCAATCTGCAAACACTATAAGTGATGGCAAATAAACAGCTCAAATTGAACCAAAGTCCTCGGATACTAGCTACGTCTCATTTATTCTTGCAGATTAATTTAGGGCTTCCAGGCTATGGGAATTTGGTAAACCACCGCGAGGGGTAAGCAAGTAAGCTGAAAGCCTTTCATCAAAAGAAATAGCAAAAGAGATACCTTGTTCTCAATCGCGTTGCTCACCTTCATCTTGAGGTATTGGTGCTGCTGCTGCGCCCCCGCCTCCATTCCCATCTTCCACAAAATCTACGTCAACGAAATATGGGTCATTTTGTGGATCGCGACGTCTCTTGCAGGTCCTGTTTCGTCCCCGTCTCACAAGTTCATCGAAATCCGTTCTTATTTCGTCTTCGGGATTCATATTTTACTCCTCCTCCCGGACCACCGTTTGCTGAGCTGTCTCCTACAACGAGGCAGCACAACCCTCCCTGAGGATAGTCATATTCAAAGCTTTATGACGCTCCGTGTGATGCTATCACAAAACATAACCAGAAGCATTTTCATCAATAATAGAATGACGACATTTGAAACAACAAAGTTTATACAGAGGATTGGAGTAAATATGCCATTTTTACGGGATCGTAAGAAATATGACTCATAATTTCCAATCACTCAGAACACCGTTACATCAATTATTAGTCAGATGTTTACGACAAACTATTATTTAAGCAAACTGAAACTGCAAATGCAAGATGTTTTGAAAGGAATCTGGACCCTTTTACAGTCTTAGAATTGTCACAATGGGCACTGATGTCAGCTTTCTTGCTTCCATTCTCTCATGGGCGTTGCACAAATTCTTAAAAAGAATGTCTAAAATGTTAACGTGAAAAGAAAAGTAACCACGGTTTAAAAACTCGGATGTCCAAAAGAAGGGAAGACTGGTCTTCCATTCCTTTCAGTTATAGAATCAATGTTCAGAACAATTGGACAGATGCAAATACGGAGGAGGATTGGGAAACAGATCCAGACGTAATTAACTACAGCAGCGACAGAGATCTGAGATGGGGAAGATTTAGTCAGACTTGCAGCGTGGAATCAATATCCTCAATAGCCACAGGTGATTTGAGAATTACAACAAAAACGTGACATTTGAGAAAACGTAAGCACTTGCACAAAACAGGTTTTTCACATTCTTTGTATAATTTAGTTTTAAAAGCAGTTTTCAAAGTTAGAGAAGCGTAATAGTACACATGCTTGTCATAAGGCTCATTTATTTTAAAGAATAATCAGGAACACTGTTTCACACTGTCAAATTGCCCAGCTTTTCTTTCCCCAAAAGAACAGGCAAAATCCACGCCCAGCAGGCCTACTGCCAATGCCAGCAAAGTAATGGTAGGCATTCAAAGCTATCAAGCACCACTTACTCAATAATTCTCAGTTTAGGTTCTGCCAGGGCCACTCATTTCTAAAACTTAATACAACTTCAGTCCAAACAAGAACAAAAATTGACCGCAGGAGGGGAAATAACATTGATTGCCTAAGATGTGAAGACAACTTTAAACTACATCTGGCATCAACGAACCAAAATCAGAATCAATGGGAAGCAGCATTGGATATTCAAAAGACAGTTGTGTGGTTATTGGAAGTCAATCAACACAACCGCAGGGCATTGTTATGGGATTTTCTCAGGGTAGTATACTAAGCCCAACCATCTTCATCTCCTTCATCAATGATTTTCTCAAGAACATAAGATCAGAATTGTGGGTGTTTGCTGATGACCATTCAATCATCAAGCTGGTAGACCAAAGGGCACGTTTCTAACCTGTATGACTGTATGACTCAATATTACCATTCACAAATTCTCAGATACTGAACCAGTCCATGTCTTAATATAGCAAGACCCTTACAACATCTAGTCTTCGGCTGATAAATGACAAGCTACGCAAGTACTAACTGATGACCATCTCCAACAAGAGAAAATCTAACCATCTCCACTTGATTCATAAGGTTATTACCATCACTGAATCGTCCATTATCAACATCTTTGGGCCATTATTGACCAGAAAATTAACTGGATCAACCTTATAAATAATATTTTTACAGAAGCAGGTTCTGGATTTTACAGCAAGTAATTCACCTCCTGACTCCACAAAGTCTTTCCTTCATCTACAAGGCACAAGTCTGAAGTGTGATGGAATACTCCCCACCTGTGTGGATGAGTTCAACACCACTAAATTCAAATACCTTGACACTGTCCAGGAGAAGACAGCATGTTTGATTGATTCCTCTTTCACCACCAATGCACAGTTACAGCTGTGTACTACCCACACAATACACTGCATTAGCTTAGCAAGCCTTCTGGCATATTCTTTTCTTTTAGTCTAGCTTATCCGAAAGCATTTAATAAAAACAAGCTATATTTATAGAGCATCTTTAGTGTAAAAGAACATTGTAGCTGCTTCACAGAAGCTTTGTTAAATGTAATTTGATACTACGCCATGAAAGGAGTTATGAGAAAGTTAACAAAATGTTTGGTTAGAAGGTTAATTTTAAGGAATGCCTGAAAGGAGGAAAGACAGGGGCACAGAGTTTAGCGAGGGAATTTCAGAAATTTGGTAGAGTTGGTAGAGATAAATTGTTTCTCCTGGCAAAGTAGATTGTTATCAAAAAGAAATAAAAAATAAAAAAAATAAAAAATAAAGGAACTGGAAAGAATAGATAGGAGAAACTGCTTCCACTCAGGAAATGATTGAGAATGAAATAGAACAGATATAATGTAATTTGGAAAACAAGCAAATGTGATGTGTGAAAAACCTTGTTCACATAGTGAGTAGGTGGGATCTGGAATACACTGCCTGGGAATAGGAGTAGGTAGGTTCAATTGAAGCATTCAGGAGGGCATTGGCTGATTATTTAAATGAAAAAAAATGTCAGGCTTATGAGGAGAAGGCAGAAAAAGCACAAAGTCATGATGCTCATTCAGAGTGTCGGTGCAGGCATGATGGATCAAACGGTCTCCTACAGCACTGTAACAATTCTCTGCGATATAATGGTATCATTCTGGTAAACTTTCTCTATACCCTATCAAAGTTTTGATAATAATTCCTAAAATGGGTTTCCCAGAATTGTACACAATATTCTAATTTCTAACCAGTTATTCATAAAGTTTTAGCATACAATGTTACTATGAAGCCTTCAAACTTTTTCTTTAATGACTTAACACCTTGTGACTATGTAAGTGCGAGGTCCTTCTCTTCTTACACCAATCTTCAAAGTAGAATAGCCTGTCCATGCTGCTTCTCCCAAACTTCATATTGCTTCATAATCAGCATTAAATTCCATCTATGAACATACAAATTAGGAGCAGAAGTAGGCCATTCAACGTATTATGCCTGATCCACCACTAAATAAACTAATGGCTCATCTGAATTCCATGCTACAATCATTCATTTCACTAGGTGACTTTCTCCTAAAGTGAATTGCTACTAGGTTTCAAACTAGTATGGCAGAGGAACTGGCTTAGATGGGTCAGATTCAGATCAGAAAACAGGAGGGAAAACATTAGAGCTGGTTGTTTTTGTTCAGACGTTTCGTTACCACGCTAGGTAACATCATCAG